ACTCAATCTTTCTTTTCTTTTAAACCTTCAAAGAGGATAGACGTACAATGGTAAATTAAAATTTATTTCTTTATATTTCCATGCTTTCAAGATTTTAAATTAATTAAATTATCGATTTATTGAAAGCATGCACCGTGAAAAAATTAAAAAAGTTATTTGTGCTATTTGTGTTATTCTACATTTAATAGTGAAATAGAGAAAAAAATATTCACACGTTTTATATTAAGAAAACAACTTTTTTGATTTTAAGGTTATTCAATTTTTTTCATTTTATTTTAGTCTCATCGTAAGTTCTCTGCACCTCGCCATGGATCTATGGCATTCTACCCCAAGAAGCGTGCACAACGCCATCGTGGAAAGGTTAAGGCTTTCCCTAAGGATGATCCAACCAAGCCAGTTCATTTGACTTGTTTCATGTCTTATAAAGCTGGAATGACTCACATTGTTCGTGAAGCTGATCGTCCTGGATCAAGTAAGTTGGTTTTAAATCTACAACTGGTGATATCTTTCTTCTTATGATGATTATTATATCAAATGTTTACAGTTATTTTTCTGAATCATGTATGATTGACACACCTTGCATAGAACTAGGGCGAACTGATTAATTTATTATCACCATTTATCATAAAACTTATTTAAAATATTGAAATTAACACTTTTCTCCTCTTTTTTATCTTTTAGAAATCAATAAGAAAGAAGTTGTCGAAGCTGTGACAATTTTGGAAACTCCTCCAATTGTCGTTGTCGGTGCTGTTGGCTACATTGAAACTCCTCATGGACCACGCGCTTTAGTCAATGTATGGGCCCAACATTTGTCTGAAGAATGCCGTCGTCGCTTCTACAAGAACTGGTAAGTTACTTTATTTAGTATCATGTAAGACTCAACATTGATGATGATTTGATCCATAAAATATGGTGACAGAAAGATTATTTGTTGAGAACTTTCACTGCTGCTTTCCTTCTGAACATTTAATGTTCTCTTTATGTTCTCTCTCACAACATTATCTAATTATTAATTTTAAAAGCTCTCCTGAGCCTATAAGGATGAGAGCAATTTAAACATGTCATGTAAGCTTCATCACTTGTTTTATGTGATGTTTTGGCGACCATGATAGGGAGCAGTAATCTCCAATGGGCATTTTTTAATGTCTAAGAGATCTGAGCCCATTTCTTCTCGTTTTTAATATGCATTCCATCACTTGGAACCTAAATAGGTATTCATGCAAGAAGAAGGCTTTCACTAAAGCCAGCAAGAAATGGACCGATGATTTGGGCAAGAAATCCATCGAAGATAATTTCAACAA